ATCGGACATTGTTTCGTTCTGCTGTGCATGGGGTCGCTATGAGTCAGTTCCGACTCGATGGCACCTGACAACAACAACAACAACAACCTCTTCTTTATCAAACGCACTGCCATTGAGTAGATCATGACTTCTCGTGATACTGTAGGACTCCCTGGTGTGGTTGCTGTAGGATCCGCACTGAACTGCAGACCACAAGGGCAGTGGTTCATACCCACCAGCTGCTCCTCGGAAACCCTATACGGGGTCACTATGTGTCAGAACCGACTAGACAGCACTTAATAATAGCATAGGACAGAGTCAGACTGCCCCATAGTGTCTCCAAAGCTGAAATCTTAACAAAAGGCCACATCTTTCTCCAACAGAATGGCTGGTAGATTTTGATGGCTGACTTTTTTTTTGGTGAATAGCCAAATGCGTAGCCACTGTGCCACCAGGTCTCCTCTTTGTATAGCATCAAACGTTAACACCTATGTAAAGAAGAGTTTAATTCTCCATGTAAGCTACCTGGTTATTTGCCTTACCTTCCATTTTAAAAATGAGAATTATGATAAATATGAAAGTGAGGGCCATACCTGGTTGTTGGTGTTGCCAGTCTCCTCTATTCACTTGTCCTCAGATTCTGATGACCTTTTTGTTTGCTCTGCCATTGGGATGTGGATGGTACAGTTGTCAGTGAAAGTGGCTTCCTTGATGTTAGCCTGCACAGCTGTGACTCAAACAGCTGTGTAGAGGATGGGTTTCATAAATAAGAGAGATGTAGTTACAGATTTAATTTTGAAAGTGATCCTAGCACAACTGCTAATGTCTTTGCATTTCTTGATTTAGTAGCAGTTAATGCTGTGATTTCTGGGGGCACAGCAGGAGATTACTGAAAATAAATTCAGGTGTGTGATAAAATGGGTTAAATGTCATATGTTTACTACAAATTAGCGGGGGGGTAAAGATTTCTTAGAAAAATTTTCAAAGGTGACTCACTTCATGTTATTAGGGACCATTTGCTATTAATTTGAAAAAATATGATCTTTATGGGAAATGTCTAGGTTATGATTGGCTAGTGATTTTGATTAATCCCCACTGTGAAAAAGTGAAACAAATGCTTGTAGTATGTGCATGTGTGTATGTGTTTAATGAACTTGGTTATAAAATTGTGAATAAAAACTTCACATGGCTTAAAAGTCTATTTACTTAGAAATTATTGGGTGTACTTACCCACTGCCCTTAATTAGATTTTGACTCATAGCAACCCTATGTAAGGTTTCTAAGAGTGTCAGCCTTTACTAGAGCAGACTACCTCATCTTCCTCCCGAGGAGTGACTGGTGGGTTTGGATTTCTGACTTTGTAGTTAGCAGTCCAGTGCTTATCCTACAGCACCACCAGAGATCCTTCTGGGGTATACTTAGTCAGATTTAATGTTATTTTAAATTATATCAGAATGTAAAATTAACAAATCTCTTTTAAGGATAAAGTAGCCAATATTTGGTGTAGTGTCAATGTCTTTGTGAAGATTAAGGATATTTTGCCACGTCACATCCAGCTAATAATCAGGTAAGAGATGCAAGGTTTGTATATAATGTTTTAGTATTTACTCTCTAAAACTATTATGGTATTGTCTCATTTATTGGCAGCACTAGGAATGACGGTTATTAGTGAATTTTCCACGTAATTTAAACCTATTATTCTATACAACAAAACTTTTTGAATTTTGATTGCTTTATATGAAAGTAATTCAGACTTGTTACCTGATTTTCTCCTTCTTAAATTGTCAGTGTATTCAATGTGATTTAACATGACTTTTAAAGTGATGATTTCCGGTGGTATATCGGTTAGGGTTCAGCCAGAGAGTGAATAAGAGATTATGTGTGTGGGTTTATTAAGAGAACTGGCTTATGCATTTGTGGTGACTGGGCTTAGTGAGGCCCAAGTCCACAGGCAGGCTGTCAGGAAGGGACAGCTAGGAGGAAAAGAGCAATTCAGACATAGTTCCTGTTTAGGTTATCTGAGCTTTCGGAAGCTATAAGCCCTCTCTGTTAAAGGACTTGGGCAAAGCTCCCTTTTAATTAACTTAAATCAATTGAACAGGGCCAGTGGTGACTTTTGCAAAATTCCTTCACAGTAGCACATATGTTAGTGTTTGAATAACTGGGTTAAGATGTGTGAGGGCTACAAAATGGGTACTGCCTCCTTCCGTCTTCCAGCTCTTGTCAGAGAATGTCCTTTATAGCCCACCCTGACAGAAAGCATAGTGGCGAGAGTTCTGTGGATGTGAGTTCAGCCTAGCCAAGTTGACATATCACAAAGCCCACACAAACGGGAAAATCTGTTATTGGGTTATTGTACTTGCTTTCAAGGGCTGTGTGCCATGATACTAAATGACTCCAGACTGCTCTACTTGCTGAGTCTGTCTACTTTCTCTGATTCGTTTTCCTCCCTGTCCATCAATCATTATTAGGAAAAGCTCTGACTAACTTTTATAGCTCAGAAGAAACACAGCTGGTTTTTCCTGACTTACAAAAGTTGAAGATCAGATAGTAAACTTTTGTGAGTAAAGTTTGTAAATGTTTGTGTTACAAATACAGCATTGATTCTTTATACTTTGTTATGTTCATTTATTTTGAGAGGGTTTGAGAACTGACCTTCTGTTGTAACTTTATTCCTTTTCTATAAATGACATTGGTTGGCTGGGTGGTTATACGCTGTGGAGTCGGTTCAGGGTTTCCGAGGTTGTAAATCTTTGTGGAAGCAGAAAGCCTCATCTTTTTCCCGTGGAACTGCTGATAGTTTCAAACTGGTGCCTTAGAGGTTAGCAGCCCAACTCATAGCCAATACCACAATAACATAAGCAATATTTAGTGCTAGAATATTTGTGCTCTACAATATATCAAATAAGTGCATATTCATATAGAGATAGGTTGTTGTTGTTAAGTGCCATGGAGTCGATTTTGACTCATAACAACCCTGGATAGCGTTTCCAATGAGCTATTGGTGGGTTTGAACCACCGATCATGTGGTTAGCAGTCCAGTGACTATCACATAGTGCCACACCAGGACATACACACACTTTCTCTCTCTGTGAAGTCAGTTCCAACTCATAGTGGTGACCTTATGCATGACAGAGTAAAACACTGTCTGGTCCTGTGTCATCCTTATAGTCACTGTTAAGCTTAACCTCATTGCTACTGCCACTGTGCCAAACCATCGTGTTGGGGGGGTGGGAGGTCTTCCTTTTTTCTGCTGACCCTCCACTTTAGTAAGCATGATATCCTTCTCCAGGGACTATCCCTCCTGATAGTATGTCCAAAGTATAAGTCTGGCCACATCCTGACTTCTAAGGAGCATTCTGGCTGTACTTCTTCTCACACAGATTTGTTTCTTCTTCTAGAAGTCTGTTATAGTCTGTATATATTTCAGTGTATAGACTTTAAATGTTGTTTTTAAATGAAAATAAACTTCAATTTAAAAGCATTTTGTTGATACATAATCTTATCTTTATACTTAAAAATTTTCTTTGTTTTGTTTTAGCTAGATTTAAACTCCCACAAGGAAAACAATTATTTTATTTGCATTAATTTTTCAGCTTTTGTTTTACATTTTTGAGCCTGCTTCCTGCATGTATAAAATTAATACTTCAGCCTTCTCCCAAAGGATTTAAATTTACTCTGGTAAGTTTCTCATTATTTTAAATACTTAATAGTAGCTCTAACTGATCTTTAAACTATATAAGTTACAATTTTCTTGCCCTAAACAATGAATATTGAATTAGAAAATTAGATATTCATTTGTTTGGCAAACATGTAATGCCCGTTTGCCATAATTCGGTGCTGTTTTGGGCAGTAGGCTGATCGATCACCGTCTTTCAGTTGAATCCAACTATATATAGTCAGTTTCTGCTTTGTATTAATCAATGAGAGCATACAAAGAGAAAAACTGCGGTGATAGACATGCTCTAAAAATTATGCCATACACAAAACAAAGATCCATGTATGCCTTATGCCATACACAAAACAAATAGTATTAAGCCCTGTCAGGTACAAATGAAATGCTTTGATGATGTGGAAAAGAAAGATAATTATTTTGTAGGAGTGATTAGATCAAGTCAGATTTCAGCCAAATTTTGAAAGCTGGGCAAGATTTGGAATAGAAGTTTATATAGCAGAAGAGTTTTCAACAGAGGAGGAAGAGCTTGAAGAGGTGGGAAAGGTCAGGGACTGTTCTGGAAACTGCTATTAATAAAATTTGTGTGACTTTTGTTTGTGTTTGTGTGTTGGCATTAGGAGAGGACATAATGAGAGAGAAGGGCTGGGAAGGACCAAATTTGTTGGGTCCTTGATTTGGAGCTTGATTTTGTGTGCAAGAAGAGTCAAGCAAGATTTTTGGTAGAGATAAAGCTGATTTCTGTTTAGAAAGCTGAGTTGTGTCCGTGTGAAAGTAGATTTAGTTTATTTCCTGCAGTTTAGCGTTTCTCTGAGTGGGCTTGCAGACACTTTCTGATTGTATTTTGGTGGTAATAAAAATATTATTCTTGTGTGCCTTGGTCTATAAAATGACATTGAAAAGTATCTTTTAAAAGATCAAGATAATGTAGTTTATGGAAACAGGAAGTTATTAAAAACAACACTTCAGAGACGGAATCGAATTCTGGGACTGTTCTTATCAATATTGTGCTTTAAAAACAGAACAGAACATAATTGTGAGACATTTAAAAAGTACAACACAGTTACACAGTGCAAAAAGAGTAGTGTTCCTTGTCTTGTATCCGTATTTTTGCTTACTTTTTCTTTATTACCTTTATGTGGATGGTTTCTGCTGTTTTAGTCTGTGAATGAACTCTGCACATGCGAAGTCATCTGTTGTTACTATTCTATAGGAGGAATATGGTTAGTAATGCCCTGATGTTATTTATTGGTCTAACTGGTAAAAGTTTTGAAATATGTCTGATTATATAATTTTTCTCGGAAATAACATGTCAAGGAAATCTATTTCAAAGATAATGGAATATCAGTTTGCTCTGTAATCTTTTACTCAAGTCACAATAAAAAGTTTATTTTAAAAAGGTATTTGTGCAGAATTTCACAATTTAAACAACTGTGACAATGCTGGAGATGGTTGCTTCTAGGGCTGTAAGCCAGAAAAAAAATGTTTTCTTAATTTCCTAATTTTATTTTATTTATTATGCTCTGATACAAACCACTGTGTTTAAAATAAATTAATTTTGTTGACAATATTTTAAATTCTTATTGTATACTTCTGAGAACTTAGAAAGTTCAGATTTTTAGGAGCATTTTCTTTTGAATTAAGTTTGGTTGAATTCTTTTCCAATATATATCTATAATTGATGCAGTTGATAGTATGAATAGTATGTATCTATAGCAACAGAATTATTTTATTTTTTAGTTGTTGTTAAGTGCCATTGAGTCAGTTTTGAGTCACAGCAACCCTGTACAGACTTTCCAAGGAGCGGCTGGTGGGTTTCATTCACTGATCTTGTGGCCAGTAGTCCAGTACTTACTGAGTACCTTCTATGTGCCAAGTATTCTTCTAGGTACTGGGCATATAAGTGAGTGACAGATAATGTCTCTTCTGATCTCTTCATTGTGGCCTTTAAGTGTTAATGCAGTAGATGGCCAATAAACAAATCGGTTAGGAAAATACCTGGGAATAATGAGGATAAGCACCCAACTGCTAACTGAAAGGTAGGCGCTTCATTTCCCCAATCCGCTCTTCAGAAGCCTTATACAGAGTCGCTATGAATCTGCACTTACTCCACGACACTTACCAATAACAATGGCAATATGAAGAAAATAAAGTAAAGTGAAAAGAGTTGATGCGATGGAGTTGGGGGACACCACTTTAATTTGAGTGAAGAAAGACCTTTCAAGAGAAGTGAGAACTGAATGATCAGCTAGAAGGAGCCAACCACAAGATGTGGGCTCTGAATGTGGCAGGAACACATTTGATGGGCTCAAGGCATAAAGGAACAGGCTTGAAATGAGTGAGGGAGAGAGTATGAGATGAACTGGAAGAAGAAGACTGGAGCCAGATCGTGTAATTCCTTGTAGGAGACTGGATTTTATTTTAAGCATGTTGGGAAGATGTTGTTGTTGTTTTTGTTATGTGCTGTGGGGTCGGTTCCGACTCATAGCGACCCTGTACAGGGTTTCTGAGACTAAATCTTTACGGAAGCAGAAAGCCTCATCTTTCTCCCGCGGAACAGCTGGTAGTTTCGAACTGCTGACCTTGAGGTTCGCAGCCCGATTCGTAACCACTACGCTACCAGTAGAGCGCCTTTTAGATGATTTTAAATCTTAAAGTTACATGATCTGACATGGTGTCTGTGGAGAATGGACTGTAAAGATTGTTGCATTAGTCCAGGAGAAAGATGGGGGTGGCTTTAGACTACTCCTTTGCTCTGCCATCAGCTGAGGGGATGGAGAGAGGGGATGAACATTTTATTTAGGAAGTGGCATAGTCAGGGCCTATTTATTGAAGGATTAGATGTGTAGCATTGTGTAAGATGTCAATCCAGATTTTTAGCTTGAGCAACTGGATGGCTGTATGATGTATAATGTCTAATATGCAGAAAATAAATTTCTGAACATAGATCTAAGTAATTTTCATTTGAAACATCAAATAGCAAATGATGAATTTATAAAACATTTAATATACTTTATGGAAGTACACATTTTAAGACCATGAAGATAGATTCTTGGGGACAGGTTTAGATTTCGACCTTCTTAGCCTTTATACCTTTTATTTTGTCAGTGATTGCAGTGGAGGATGAAGGTATGACTGTTGTGTCTGAGGTACTTAGTACTTTCACTTATTAATAACTGAGTCTCAATGAACTTGTTTCATGTAGTTAAGCATAGTTGCTTTAGAATCATTGTTTAAAAAAAATATACTGATTATTAAATCTGATTTTAAATATGTATATATGGTAGAGTTCCATTTATATTTTACTTCTAGATAGAAGCCACATTAAACTTTAAAATTTCATTTGGAAAAGATTTTTAGATTGTAATTAAATTGCCATTCTATTTTATAAATTATTATATCTCGTTTTTCCTTTTTTTCTCTCAAGGTTACCTGTGCTCTATCATTCTTTTTATTTTCTTTCCAAGTACATGAAAAGTCCATTCTCTTGGTATCATTGTAAGTATAAGTATTGGATGTATTTATTATTATGTGCATACAATATATAAAAATTTGTAATTTAATTTAAATATTCACTTAAACATAAAACCTACATAAATGTATGTTTGTGTAAAATTATTTCACAAAATTGTGTTTTTCTAGGATTTCCTTATGATTGTATTTCTTTATGAAATATACCATTTTATTTCTTCCTGTTTCTGTAGATATATTTTCTATATGTTATTCAAGAGTGTATCCTCTTAAGAGATATTTTTCAGGCTGGACCCTGTTTGTTATCTTTGCCTTTTTTCATTTCATTCATTCATTTCCACATTTACTTAGTAACCTAACTCTCTCCATTTGCTTCCAAGTGTTGTCAATCTGACTCTTTTTTTTTTTTTTTAATGTTTTACTGTGAATTATGTGATAGTTTAAATGGGAGAACATTAGTTTTACATTCATCCTATCGTATATCATTTCATTGCCATGGTTACAATCCCCTCCATGCATCATCAACCAACCAAAGTGTTGCCCCCCGGTCGTCAGCACACAGCCCCTCTCCCTCTCTTTATCTAAAGTCCCCAGCTGCTCCATCTCTCCATGTCATCATCTCTGCCTCCATCTCAGACTTCACTGCTTCTCTGGTTAGGGTCCTGCTCTCTGCTTTTCTCCCTTCATGGTCCCAGGGACCTCCGCTCCTAGACTGAAAAGTTAATCACTCTCCTCCTCACTACAAAACATCTACCTTTACATTGCCAACCCTCACAATCAGTCCTGATAATAATTATTCACTATTGTATCACTAAAGACCCATCTGCATTTCATTTCATCAGCTCCGCCTAGTCAGATTCAATACTACTCACTGGAGATTCTACCTTCTTCCATACCCTCTGGATCTAGGCTACCTCTTGTAAGCTTGTAAGCTAGTCACTTCTTGCCTTTGAAGCCCCCTCCATTTTGGGTAGTCAGTCTGACTCTTATCGATCCCATGTAGAGTTTCCGAAAGAGGCTGGTGGGTTTGAACTGCAGATCTTGTGGTTAGCAATCTAGTTCTTATCCTACAGCATCACACCAGGGCCCACCCTCCACTTAGTCTTTGACATATGAGGGGACTTAAAAGAGTTTGTGGAAAAATTCCATGATCCTTTAATTCCATTTTTCCATGAATTTTGAAACCCTCTTATATTGCCTCCTTTCTATTTTTTTTGCCATAACCTTTGATTAGACTCTACTGGAAATCTCTAACCAGACTCCTTTGTTTTAGGAGCTGTGATTGTTAGGGTTTTGTGTCAACTTGGTTGGGCCATTGTTCTCAGTGGTTTAACAGTTAATATGTAGTGATTCCTCATGATGAGATCTAATATACTATAATCCCTCCCCCCATGATGTGATCAGCCTTGATCTGATGTAATTATCCTATATGTTGTATATCTCCACCACTGTGAAGTCTTGGTGTGGCTCTTCAGGTTAATGTGCTGGACTGCAAGGTTGGTCTGAACTACAAGGTCAGCAGTACAAGCTCACCACCTGCTTCTTGGAAACCCTATACAGGGTCGCTAAGAGTGGAACCAACTTGAGGACACTTAACAACAACAACAACAACAATGTGATGTTAATGAGGCTGATATGATCTATAAGACTAGATTGTATCCTGAGTGTCTCTTTTGAGATATTAGAGGAGAGAGAAGGAACTACTACCACCAAGAAAGAAGAATCAGGAGTAGAGTGTGTTCTTTGAACCCAGGGACCTTACACTGTGAAACTCCTAGATTCAGGGAAAGACTGATGCCAAGGTACATGGAGATCTGCAAGGAATGCTGGGCCTGCAGATGTTGAAAGGAGACAAGGACCTTTCCCCAGTGTTGGCACTCTGAATTCAGACTTCTAGTCTCTGAAACTTAGTAAAAGTGACAGTGTCTTCAACTTGCCATTGATCATTCTGAACATGTATCTTCTACAAAAACCTAGCCAACGGGGTGAAGAATGGGAAAGATGGGGGTGGTAGTGGTTTGGCATTTATTTAAAGCAGCATTCAAGTATTCCAAAAACCTTTTACTAAGTGGAGTTTTAGACAAAAGCCTCACTGGAAAGCTTTATAGTAAACTGAGCTGGCCTAGGTGAAGGGGTTCTTGGCCATAAGCAAAATTGTCTCAGATCTTTGCATGATGGGAGGACTATTAGATTTCATACCCAAAAGTCTGTTTGGGTATATGGGACTAGTCTGACCCCACACAAAGCCCTAGTGCTAGGGGCAATGGAACTATAGAGAGACATTACTTTCAAACATGTATATTTTCCACAGAATTTCTGCCCCATACATAGAAATGTATCTCTTTTAATGACCTGTATATTTGACCATTCAAATAAATTCTCAACTCCATTATTCATATTCTACATTGGCACCTACATGTTTTGTAACAGTGCATGGTTTTAATGTTATCTTGGTAAAAAATGTAAAGTTAGCCTTTAAAGTTCCTCTTCATCTGCTCCCAGCTAATGTGTCATTAAACATATTCTTCATTCAGTAGACATGATCACGAAGATGGCACAGAACCAAACAACATTTCCTTTTGTTATACATAAGGCTCCCATGAGTGACAGTCAACTTGATGGCAATAAACCACAGCACTGTTTCCCAGGCACTGTTCCCCGCTTTGGGATATATCTGTATACAAAACAGACAAACGTCTCTGCCTTCTTAGTTTTTATTCTCAAGGGTAGACAAAAAAGAATAAAGAAGTTAAAAAAAAAAAAATGAATGAAATAATATGTTGTTGTTGTGTGCCGTGGAGTCGGTTCTGACTCACAGCGATCCTGTATAGGGTTTCCGAGGCTGTAAATCTTATGGGAGCAGAAAGACTCATCTTTCTCCTTCGGAACAGCTGGTAGTTTTGAACTGCCGACTTTGAGGTTCGCAGCCCGCTTTGCCATGAAGGAATCATAACACAGGAGAAGGGAAGTAGGGAGTACTGGAAATGAGGTGAGGGGTGCGCAGGTGCAAGTGAGAGTTTTAAAGATGTCAAGGCAAGCGTCATTGGGGAGATACTTCAATGGACAGGAGGTGGTAAGGAAGTTAGCCGTGGGATATTTGGGAGAGGAAACAGCTAGTGTCAGGGTTCTAAGAAGGGAATAAATATGCCGTTATGTTTACTGTGGCCAGAGTAGAATGATGAGAGTGGATTGTCTTAGGAGGTGGAGTCAAAGATGTAAAAGGGATTCTAATCTTTTCATATTTTATAGCCATACTAGGAAATTTGGCTTTTATTCTGAAACAATGAGGGCGGCATGGGAGGATTTTGAGGAAAAAACATTGTCTAATTTGATCATTTTAAAAGTTTCACTCTTGACTTCAGGTTGAAAATAGCCTGTTGGAGACAAGAGTAGAAAACGTGGAAACTATTTAGAAGTGTATTAATATAACCTGAGAGTAGATTATTGACTTTCACAATAGTCAGAGATGATGGTGATTGGGACCAAGATACCAATAGTGAAGACGTGAGAAGTGACCAGTTATGATTAGTATTTAGGTGAGAAGTAGATATAAATGAAAAGCCAGAAGGTTTCATAATGAGTTGGGTATTGGATGTGAGAAACAGAAAAGCCAGATGAGTTCATGGTCTATGGTCTGGAGCTAGAAGGATGGAAGTGCCCTCTATTGAAATGGGGGAAGACTGCGTGTGGAGCAGGTTTAGGACAGGTAGGAGGTTCAGCAGCTCAGTGCTGGACCATCCAGGTGGAGATGTTGAGTCAACATTAGAGTCTATGAATCTAGATTGGAGTTCCAGAAAGAAGCTGACTTGGAGACATAAAATTAGTACGTTTCACAGTATAAATGTTCTTTAAAGTCATGAGACTGGACAAGATAACCAAGGAAATGAATAGACAAAGGAAGAACTAAGGGCTAAATCCTGGGCCACATCATTAAGAGATCTGGGAGAAGAGGGGCTGAGGAATGACCAGTGAGGTAGGATGAACTCCAGGAGAGGTGGTGGCCAGTTGTTTTAGATGCTGCTAATAGGTGGATCATGACAAGCTATGGACAACATTGAGAAGTATGAGTATTCCAGAACACTTAATTGTACTTCTAAGAAATCTGTACCTAGACCAAGAAG